CGTATTCATCAATATCAATATCATCATCATTATCACCAGAATAATCATCATCTCCAGCCTCATCACTATCATCGTCATCAACATCATCATTATGATCATCATCATCATGATCATGATCATCACCAGCCTCATCACTGTCATCGTCATCAACATCATCATCATGATCATCACCAGAATCATCACTATCATCATCATCATCATCACGTCATTATCATCATCACCAGCATTATCATAATCATGAATTTCATTATCATCAGCATCATCATCGCATCATCATCACCAGCAGCATCATCATCATCATCATCATTGCACGCTGAAGGCAGATGAATACAGGGCTGCTCTGTGTGTCTTTCGGGATCATGACACTCCATTCAGGCTTGCCAGCTATGTGGATCCCTGCTTAATGAGCCAGTAAACGTCCAGCTTGTCTGGCTAGGGGTGGAGCTCAGCCAGATGGCGGGCACTCCTCACTGGTGCGAGTTTGTCACCCAGCGCCGCTCCGGCTGTGCCACGACAGAGCCAGACTTTATCATGTGACCACACAGCCATCGAGTCCTTCGCTTGCCAGCTAACCTTTGTCTGAGGCTAACCGTCAGACTGGGAGGGTGGCGGTCCAACTGTGGGTCATCCACATCTCTGTGTCTTTGCTGGAAACCACGCTGGCCAATCAGGATCTTTTATAGCTTGGAGGACTGGCCAATGAGAGACGAGAGGGTTCCATGGGGAACCCTGACGCTGCACACCGGAGAGAGATAATTAACCTTTAGTAGCTTTTAAGGTAATTAACCTTTATGTCTTTTACAGTGAAATATCAGGTGGTGTGAGGGGTCACCCTCGTTTAGGGTAGAGAGCACCAATTAAGGCGGGTAATGATGGCAGCCTGGGCGGAAGCCGTGGGGCCCTGTGTGGGCACAGCACTGGCAGCCCGACGATCCGGCTGATCCGGGTCACAAGGGGAACCATCTTCCGGGGGTCTCTGCAGCTCTCGGTCTGTCTTGGATGCCCCTCCCCCATAATTAATCTCGGCTTCTCGTTATTCCTAGGTGACACTTCCTAGGTGAACGTGGAGCTGAGCGGAGGCCTCTGCTTGTCAATGTCAGAGCT